TGTAGGCCTCGGCTCCCAGAGAGTGTGCCTTGCAGCCCCACTTTAGTTCTTTTATCTCCGTGTGGGGCCAACGCCCACGAAAATGCCAAGGGCAGCTTTTTAACCAGTCTTCCTCTCAGGTACGCCTTCCTCTGCTCTGCCTCCGATTTGGAAGCACGACAGCAGTAGTTCCGGCCAGTTGTGAGGGCATCCGTTCTTTCTCCCTCTCTGGAAATGTTAACTGGAAATTAAGAAAGAGGCTCAGATCAAAGGAACTTTTCTCTTCAAAAAGTTCCATTAATTAACTAAATTAAAGGAAGTTAAATGATGTTTGGAGGAAAGTCATTTTAGAAGGTCCAGGTCGAGAGGCTGAGGTCTAAAACTTGTAATGTGGACTTTTAATGAAGCTTTGGCAACCAGTTAAATAGTATTAGAAATTGAGGGTTACCATATGTAAAACCAGTTGTTGCCTGAAATCAATCATTTCAAAGGAACATCTTGAAAGTAGACAGACATTTGGCTAGAATTTGCCTAGACCATTTAATAGTAAAGATTAAAAACCCAGGGTTCTGAGTAAGAATCATTTGCCCAGTAGCTAAGGTGAGTCACAGCCTCTTAGAACTAGGCACACATGTTGAAGTCAGGATGTTGAGAACACTGGGTTTACTAATTTGTGAGGCAGGGCTGTTGCTTCCAGTTCACGGCTCATTTTCCCAGCCTTTCCAACAGGTGCTATTGAGTCATCCATGTGCACAGTGACTGCCCTGGCAGTTTCATCTGTTGGGATTACATTTCCATTTGTTCCATTACTTTATTTTATTTCTACCATTGAATCAGATATATCACTTCCTCTAGGATTTAGGGATTTTTTTTTTCTATGTTTGAAATATGGTGTGTCTTTCAAAATGTGTCCCAGCAAGGTCTGCAGGCCTTCCTGGATTGAATGGACTGCTTACAGGAAGGGAAGATCCAGGGCCCAGGGTCAGGGTTACCAAATTATATAAGGTTTCCTGTTTGGGCAGCTGGTGTACCAACTCCTCAAGTTAGGTCAGACCGAGTTTTGCTGAAAGACAGCATGCCTAGTGGAATAAGGATAGTGTCAGAGCAGGGAAGAAAATTTTTCTTTTAAGCTTCTCATCAACAAACTTTCATTTCTTCTCAGATGTCACTTCTCAGCAATACTTTCCTGTATTCTCTTATGTGAATTTATTTTTCCTGATCAGATTGAAAGGAATTAGTTAAGGATGTAAGAACCACAAGGCCAGGCATTGTTGTATGTTTACTCATGATGTGACCACAATCCTGAGAACATACGTGGCACATAGTAGTACCGTGTATGGTAAATACTTGTTACTTGAAGGAATGAACAGGAATGAGAAGAGACATCTTGGCAAAAAAGAAAAGGAGACTAACCAGGAGGTCACCAGGGCTCAAATAAAATGAATATCCACCAAAGCTACTCTCAGTGGTCTTGCATGTTGCAATACAATCACCTACCACCAATGCCCACTTCTGTTTTGCCACTGGCCAAATGCAATTGTGGCTGGCCAGTTTTTGACATGGAGCTAGTATGTGAAACACCAGCCTAATATCAGTGGAAACCAGCTGTTTCTATGGATTATCTACCTAATTTCCTCCATCCTCTCTGCTTGGCACCCATAGGCACTGAGCAGATGGCTCATGAGGGGGTTGCTGATGCTAACTGCCCTTATCCCGTGCAGCTGCCTTTCTCCTCAGTTTCTTTCATTTCTTATTATACTTTGAATTACTATTCTGTGCTCTTTCTTTTTGTGCAAGATGAATATCAGAGAGCCAGGGAACTTTTGTTGCCTCCTGGTCTTGTTTCAGGAGAATTAGTACCACCTGTACAATGGGACCTGGAGCCTGGAATACAAGGAGACAACTGGAATGGAATTGCGTAACTGAACAAGACTCTCCTACCATGGAGCTGTGTGTCTGGTAAACACAGCAGAACCCAGGTGTACCTGCCAAGAGCTATATGAAGTAGCTGGTTGGTTCTAGATGGGAGCAAGGTATCAGGCATATGTTGCCAACCTGTCTCCCTCAAGAAGATGAGATAGATGTGCAGAGCAAATGACCCGTGTGCACACCAGGGTAGGTCAGGTCTCAGGAAAGCCCAGTCAGGCTAAGTCCAAACTAAAAATTCTGGCTGGATGTATCAGTAACCTTTGCTCATTGGCAAATTCTCTGGGCTTTGGAAAGAAGGCAGATCTATCAAACCAGCCTAATGCCGCTGCCCTATGGACAGAGGACCAGGAGGGAGGGCTCAGCCTGGAGCAGAAGTTTTCGCACACAGTATAGTCAAATCCCCAAACCTGGGAAAACAGGATGTGTGGGGAAGTCAAGAAGAAAGAAAATGCATTTGCCATCCCTTCCTGTTGGTTTCAGCATGATGAGGAATAATTACCTGGGTCTGGAGAGCCAGGCATGTGGGAGGCCACAGGAGGCTCTGGTCTGTGTAGTCGGCAGTTAATTCTTCATCCCACTCCTTCCCTCTTTCCTCCCTGAAATCCACCTTTCCAAAGTCAAAACAGGAAAAACTATGCAGGTTAACCTGTGGAATACTGTTTGCTGGGCCCAGAAAGGACACCAGCCCTTCATGGACTCTCAAATAACAGAATCAGCACTTTAAAATGACACCTTATTATCCACCCATGTCACTGACTGATGGGGACACAGATCCAGAGAAGGACCTGTCCAGCTGTCACACAGGGCTGTCTGTCCACATCATGGGTTCAGTCCTTGCACTAGCTTTTACAGTTTGAGTGTAAAGGGTCACTTAAAGGCTGCACTTAAAATGCTACTTTACATTTGGGTTTTTATCATTTGCCAAAATTAAATAAAAATAATGCAGAAAACAGCGTGGCTGGCACCAAAATTTGTATCAATTCATTCTGCCTACCTCTCACCATCATCCTCATTCACCGAATCTAATACACCAGGTGTGTCCACAATCCCAATTCCCCAAGTGACAAAAGGCTGGCGAGTTTGGCTTGTTCATGTTCAAAGGTGCAGTCTGGTTGGAACCTGCTCTTCCCATCTAAGCCTCTTAAGATCTCCTTTGAACCCCCGTGAGAACAATGTCTGCATCCCAAAGCCCTTATCGAATATCTTTTGGTCAAATGTGCTTGGAATTCGGAACTTTTGGGGCTGTGGAAAGCTAATATACATGATACACTGAGGGAGTCTGGGGGAGCACCCCTCAATCATGTACTTTAAGCTCTCTGTCTGCAGGAAGCAGAACATTCACACCGCAAGTAGTTCCTGGGTCAGGTTTTGGGCAATGGCTTTCAGAATTGCAGGTGAAGGAATAGTGTCCACTCCACCCTTCAGATGCCCGGAGCAGTGAGTGCTCCCTTCCAGGGCTTCCTTCAGAGGCAGCTCAGGTCCCGGATGGAGCTCTGTCTCCACCAGGCCCACAGGGAGGGTGGCAGGTGGTGCTGGACTTGGCATTGTAGTTGGGCAAGGTTTTTATATCTTTAGGGAAAAGAGGAATCCAAGATCAGATCTCATACTCCTTCTGACATTGTCTCTTTCCTTGACCTTGCTGGAGTTTTGGGTGTTTATTGGTTTATCACTATCAAAAGCATCCATTATCATTTTTGTTATCATGGTAATTGTGGTACTAGTAGGGAATTTTAACTGGCCTCTTCCCACAATGTGGACCAATCTCTCTATACAAATTAGATAATGGGATAGTCTGACATGTTCTTATAAACATTTCACATTTGCAAGTGTGTGTGTGTGTGTGTGTGTGTGTGTACTCATCTTTTCCATCATTCTTTTTCTCATTCTTATCCCCTACCTTCAAGCTATAGTCTGACTTCACAGCACAATCCATAAAAGCAACATTCTTTCCTTGGCCCACCATAGTTTGTAGTGACAGGAGGGTGGCCCCATGCGCGGTCCAGGCTGGGCGCAGCACTAACTTGATATAGCTCAGGACACTCACCTAAAAGTTTATCTGCAGTGGCGCTCTTCATGCAGTAAATGTCACCTAGTACAGACAGTTTAAAATCATTTCAAAACACACATTTTTATACATTTCAAACCCAAGACCTAACAGAGATAATCCATGGAACAGCTTGAATTAAAGAATAAACGAATGGATTTTCTGAGACATGTTAGTGAACTGCAGATATAGATCGAGCGCTAGCAATGTTTATTATCTAAAACAAGCACTGTACGGTCTCCTGGTGTAGATGACATTCTACTTTTCAAAAGGAACTGAAGAAAGTAAAGGCAACAGTGTGAGTATTTTGGATTTCTACTGTCAGAGGTGAAAGATTTTAGAAAGCAACTCTACCCACTGCAAATCTGCCAAGTCAGAATACGTTAAAATAGTCTGTGTTGTACGTTTGGGACAGAGGCTGGGATTTTATGCTCGTTTTGGGACTGGGTCATGATCGCAGTTTACACTGTTCATAATTATGACGGTGACATGACTGCTTAAGTGCAGGAATGCGGAAAAACGAGAGGAATCAAATTAACTACTAATAAAAGATGGGGAAATGGATCACAAGGAACGGAAGTATTTTGATGGCCACTGCTCAAAGGTTCAGCCTTTTGCAGTTGCTGATAACCTTGTCAGGTCTCCAGACACAGGCCAGTCTTGTCACCCTCCAGCACCTGGCTGAGAGGCAATAAAATGGTGGCCTTATCTTCTAAGGGTGGAATTAATCCAACCTCAGCCCATGGTAATTAGAGTAAACTGAAATTGCCTGCCATTTACCAAAAATGGGGGAGGGAGGCAGGGAGAAAGAAAGAAAAAAAAAAGGCTTAAAGCAGGAAATTGTGTTTGTCTCTCTCGCTGGATTGTTTTTTAAAAAGGGGAGCAAAACAGCCAGAAGTTTTTCAGGGAGTGAGAAAAAAACAGCCTGGCCCGGCTGCCCTCTCCCTGGGGAACAGGGTTGCTGACAGCGCAGTTCCACGTGACCGTCTAGAGGAGAAGCTCATGATGATGAAAATCCAAAAAAGCTTCTTAGGAGCTTTTCTTTCTAAATGTAAATGACTGACTCAGTGCTTTGCGGAGCGGGGAAGGAAGTCACAGTCACACCGAGTGACTCATTTTGTGCTGTTAGTTCAGGCAGTTGGATGAAAAGTTTTAGCAAAAGCAGCAAGTCTACTTTAAATACTAGCACAGTAAGGAAATTCCTCTCTTTCGGGCTGAATGCCATCCACACAAAAGAGCTCCTGTTGACATCTCATTTACAATCTCCCCCAGGACACAGACAAGACCGTTTCAATAAACCCGGCTCAGAAACACCTATTGTTCAAAATCTTCAACTAGCAACAGGCTACCAGCACTCCCTATTGTTTTGTAAAATAAAAGATTTAGAAGGAGAAGGATTGGGACTGTGGAAGCCATGAACAGAGGAAGGAAAAAAACCTCCCTTTGACCTAGTGCTGTCCGAGGGCGTGCATGAAGAATAAAGTTAATGGATTTCCATTTTTATAAGAAGTGCATAAGAAACGTTCGTTATGTTCCAGAAGTGGTGATTGGGAATTCTAAGTCTGATGCCAGTACTGTGTGTTAAGAAGCTAACTCCTGCCAACATGCTAGCCCTAAACGAAAAGCCAAAAGCTATACTTACCCTATTCTCAGCCTCACGGAAGCCCTGATAGCAGCCAGAGCAAAGCCCCAGGTGAGTCTTTGATCTGGGCTGTTTCTCTGGGATTTGTAGCTTGACTGTCCTTTCTAAGGAGAATTTTCAGACTCAGCCTCTAGAGCACACGCCTCTCATTAATGATTTTGTCCTTCCCATCGTCACCGTTTTGCTTCCTCTTTTAGGCAAGCTTGAACACTTTCTGGGGTTATATAATGTGGTCTTTAGTGGTTTTTCTTCAGCTTTGCCTCAGATTAAGAAATACATTTGTGTTTACCAAAATGCTCACTATCTTTAACCTCCTAATATATCTTTCAGTTAAAGAATGTTCTCCATCTTGGCAAATGACCCCTTTATCTATCCAGAGTTCAAGCCAAAACTCTGGACATTATCTTTAATTCCTTTGGGTCCTTCTCTCCTATCTCTTAAATCCCTCTGGAATCATTCCACATCCTCCTATCCAACCTTTCTGCTTCCTTAGATCGATCCTATTGTCTCCTCTCTGGAGTATCTTAGTAACTTCCTAAGGTTTCTCAAACTGCTAGTTGTGACATATTAATGGGTCATAAAGTAATTGAGGTGGGTTATGCAGTTTCACCATTCAAAAAGTGAGATAGATTAGGAAATGTCACTAGAAAATGGATCCAACAAAGGAAAAGTATTGTTTCGTAAGACTTGTTTCAGCTGTGTGTGTCAAATGTGTGTGCATTCTGTATTTTGTTTGTCAAACGATTTTGAGCAATACTTTTCTAATTGGTCTCCCTGGATCTGTCTTGTCCCTGCTTCCACATCGCTGTGCACACTTAAGCAAGAGTTGGAGATACTCAACAGACCCTGTCACTCGTCGGCGGACAGGTCTGCCCTCAGGGTAAAGTCTCAAATATACGGCTTCGGAGAGTCTGACGAACTTGTTTCCTGCTCATCTTTCTGGGCTCAGGACTCTACATCCTCCTGACCACTTTTACTTTTAGTTGTTAAAACCTTCAGGTTCCCCAGCCTTTGCAAATTGAGTAAGTTATTTTCTTTTTCTCTTTCCGGTATCAGCTTAGGCTTTAGGTCACCTCTTCCAGGTGGGCTTCTGGAATGTCTCTGCTAGACCTCATTAGAATACTGCTCTTTTCATTTGAAAGAGCATTTACTGCATGATCATTCTCAATTCCCGATTAGACTTTAAGCTCCAAGTGGGTGTTCAGTAAATACTTGCTGAGTAATTATTGTGCAGTGAATGTTTCACATTGTACACAGTTCACATTTCCTTTCTACATAGAAATTTGAATAATTATTATAAAGTTTTTAATCTCTTTCTCAAAGCTTTTGTTTTCATTTTTTTATACAGCAGTATCTCCTGTTCACTTGCTTTTTAAAACATAACCTAGTTTAAAAATTCACTGAACTCTTAGAAATCAAAATAATAAAATTTGGAGAGCCCTGGTTGGTTTGGCTCAGCGGTTAGAGTGTCAGCCTGTGGTCCAGAGAGACCCAGGTTCGGTTCCTGCTAATGGCACATATCTTGGTTGCAGTTTGTCCCTGGCCCTGGTTGGGTCGTGCGGGTGGCAACCACTTGATGTGTCCCATTCACGTCGATTTTCTCTCTCTCTCTCACGTCCTCTCTCTCCCTCCCACTCTATCAGAACAAAAAATGAAAAAATGTCTTCGGGTGAGGATAAAAAAAAATTTGGAAAAAGCAGTTGGACTTCTGGCTGGCCACTTGCTGTCTGAATCTCAGGTCCTTCATGTGCAAAAGAGGGACAGAACTCAGTGAACCTCTGGCTTGAACTTTCTCTTTTTTATTGTTGGAAGTGTTACAGATATCCCCCTTTTTTCTCCATTGACCCCTCCTTCCCGCTCCTGTCCCTTCCTGCCTTCCCCAGCCTAGTGTCCCTGTCAATTGGTTGTGCATATCTGCATATAATTTTCTTGGTTTATCTCTTCCCACCCCTTCATCTCCCCAGTCCATTTGAGGTTTGTCAGTGTGCTCCCTACTTCCATGACTCTGAACTTTTTCTTTTTAAGGACCAGAAAGGCTAAGTGATTTTTCTCAAGGTTAAACAGTGTTTTAGTGGCAGGATATTCTTAGCCTTTCTATAGATTTTTAACAACAAGCAGCAAACAAAAAACATAACTTTTCCCAGAAATTGACAGTGCCACTAAATTTGTGGGAGAGAGAACCATAAAATTAAAGAAAACTTAAAAACAAACAAACATCATAATGGACTCCCGCCTAGGCAGATCCTAACACTTTTCAAAACAGTCTTTCTAGCCCTGGCTGGTTTGCTTAGTGGTTAGAGCGTCAGCCTGCAGACCAGAGAGTCCCAGGTTTGGTTCCCACTAAGGGTGCGGGTCTTGGTTGCAGTTTGTCCCCTGGCCCCGGGTGGGATTGTGTGGATGGCAGCCCTTCAATGTGTCTCTCTCACATTGATGTTTCTCTCTCTCTCTTCCTCCTTCTCTCCCTCCAGCTCAATCTGAAGATAAATACAAAAAATAAATTAAAAAAAAAAACAGTCTTTCTATTGTTTGTTATTAAGTGAAGAGATGTTCAGATTTCCATTTTAAAATTGGAAGTGAAAAATTAGAGAATTTTGTACATCTTGACCTCTTTGTAGAGAGGAGGCACAATGAACAAATACAACTGATAGTGTTGTAATTAACCCAAGTATTAATTAATAGCTGGAAAGAAAAAAGAAAAGGCCAAATAGATGCATGCCCTGGTCAGTCTGGATGACATAGGGAAGATACTTGCCTTTTAGTCACACCTGGAACAGGTCATTGGCCAGAATGGGCATGGCCACCGCAAGCGCGGGAAGACTTGATATTTTAATCTCCTAAGCAAAGGGCTTCTCTCTCTCTTGTGTGCTGGGCTCCTGGCTCTCGCTTCAGGGGGCACACTCCCCTGAATTTGACCATGTGGACCCCACACAATGGACCGATGGACTGTGACTAGCCTGGTGCTGTGCCAGACCCAGTTCCAACATGGAACGGAAACTTTGGACACTGGCTTTGCTTCCAGCTCTGCTGAATCCCCAGCTGAGTATCTTCCAGTTTAAGGAAAATGGGACTTTGAAAACCCAGGGTTTCCATGCAAATAAAGCTTTCTACCACATCTCATCCTCCCACGGGGACCTCCAGAGATGCCTCTTCCGGGGCACTCCAAGAATCCCATTCTCACGCAGTGGGAAAGGGCAATGCACACAATTCTCCAAATACACTACCTTCCTGAAGATGCCAAAAAAGCCATCCAAATGCCTTTCTTAGTGCTGAGACCCTGGTGCCCTGACCTGTAACCACTGTCAAGGCTAAAGCTATAGCTCACCAAGAGGAGACTTGGCCTCCGTTCTTGTAACTCTCTCCCCTGCTGCTCCTGCCAGAAGTCAAGTCCCTGGTTTGCCTGCTTTCCTTACTTACTTATGTTAAAGAGTCTGGGTTGGGGTAACCTGTTCTGTAAAGTAAAGTCAGCAGATAGACACCCCTTTGGGGAAAAAACCCTACAACAGTGATATTACTTTAATTTTTCCAAATGTAATATGTTGTACTCTATAACTTAAACCAGTGTATGCATTTGCTTTATTTGTTGTTTTCCCCCCTCTAAAAAGACAAGTTGTAGTTTGCCCTTGTTTGATACAAAAGTTGATAGAAATTATGGTAAGAAGAAATTAATTTTGAAGTGCATTCTTACAAAGAATAAAGAAAGTCACATACTACTGTAACTCCATATAAAACTGCTATGCTCATGAGGACCCAACTTTGACATCAAATAGTTATAGTCTGGTGATGGGCTTCTAGATGAGTATTATTTTATTCTTTAGGCTTTTCTGATTTTTTCAATTAGAAAAACGAACACGCATTACCACTGTAATCATAAAAATGTGAAAACGTTAGAATAAAAATTAGATATACGATTATGTCTTCACTGCTATTACACTTGACTAAATTAATTTTATTTTTACCATAGATGTTGCTGTATATTTTTCTTATTTAACCATTTGTTTTTTGAAGGGAATTTTATATGATTACTACATTAAAAGAAAAGAATAGTGAAAAACTCTTAACATTGTTTGATATTTCACTCTTTAAACACTTAAGGAACATTGACCCATAAGACTGACGAACACTGGCATGTAACCCCTGTACCATCTGGCGGCAGCATGTTTTATTTGCCTCTCCTGACATTTTCACACCTAACAACTTACCATTTCCAGAATGCCATCTTTTACAGGTCTGTAGCCCACGTTACACATGCTGTTTGCTTTCTGATAACCACTCTCCTTGCCAACAGGAGGACCCCAGTGCTGTTGACTTTTCCACGCAGTCATGACTTTTGGGGAAGGTGAGCACCTCTCTAGGTTTGGATGCTGAATCTTCACTGGTCTATGGACAAAGGGATGAGAAGGGAAGCCTGGTGGGAATGCCTCTGGGGAGATTTATTTACAGTGACACGAGTCAGGACATCCCTTTCTTCCTCTGGATATTGTCATCAGCAAGAGATGCTCTGAACTGTGTGGTTGTCACCTGGGGACCACAAGGAGCATCTGCCTGATAAGCCAAACCCACGGTGATGTTCAAGGTAAACAGACGGCAAGAAGCCAGGTTTGATGCATTCATTGGCTGCCCTTCCTCTGGACTTGCTATTTTTTGAAAAAATAAATGCCTTTACCAGCTAAGTCACTTTGGTTTTGTTTTTAAAACTTTGTTTATTTGCTTATTTGTTTGGTGAGGCACTTATGTGATGTCTTTATATATGCTAAGTGTCCTTCCTTGCTTAGGAAACTATTCGTTCAGATTCACTTCGTTTGAGTTCCATTAGCACCTCCTACATATTGTTATTACAGAACTCATCACACTTTGCTTGTTCCGGCCGATTCCCAGTGCTCTCGGTGAGCAGGCGGCTCTTTGTCCACTACTCTATGTGTTTGTTGGCTTAAATGATTCTGTTTGGCAAATTCTATCACACAAGACAGTGCTTTTCAACTGGTGTGCCACAAGAATCTTTACAACCTACAATATCTGACTATTTAGTCAGGGGCACTGACATCGTTTTCCTTAGACTGTCAAATAAAAAAATAATAGCAGCCAACACAACAATAGCTGTCCAGTGTAAATGAATCAAAATTATACCAATTTATTTTTATCAGATTGACAAAGAATATATTTTTTGGTGTGCTGCAGAATTTTAGTAATTATTTGATGTGTGCCATGAGATGAAAAGGTTGAAACTCGCTGACCTAAGGGAATGGAAGAGATCTGGCAAATGTGGGACTGAGCAAGTGGAGGGAGCAGGGCGGCAGCGAACCTCCAACTGGACTCCGAGGGCAAGAAAGAGAAGTGTCACCCACCTCACAGCTGTGCTCGGGCTGCCTCTGGACGTTAGAGGGAGCACGTGCGAAGGCCCTGTGAGCTGCTGTGCAGATGTGATAGTAGGAGCAGCACCAGCAGCGGTAGTGATAGTTGTTACTTTTTTGGGAGCCAGCTGAGTAATTTTTCCAAACCCAATTCTTCCTGGAGCAACATGAATTGACTTGGCCTTTGGCTGATATTGAGTTGGGACTCTGGGAATACTAAAAAATATTTTATAAAATTTGCATAAAATTACAAATTTAGGCTAAGGGGGCGGGGGGCGATGCTGTAAAAATTAATAGGACCAAAGGGAATGATTTCTAATCAAATTGTATACACCCCCTCCAACCGCCCCCAAAACACTCATAATATTTGATATAAAAATAACATGGTGACAAATAGCTGCATAAAAGGGAACAGTTCTTTCAACATAGTTTAGGATGATGCTAAGTAGAATTTTAAAGTGATTGGAGTCAAACATAGCTTGAGGAGGAGACAGGAAATAATGTTTTAAGTGATGCATAAATAGAACTGATGACTTTGGGGGTTTGGAGAAAATAGGTAGAAAAGTTGGTACTGGACGGTCTAATGTTACCACAGTAAGTGCCAGTTTTAGGAGGTCTCTATTTTCTTGAACAGAGTTCGCTTCTGAGAGAGAGTTCAGAGGGGCTTAACCAATGCGCTCCAGGATGCCTCTTTGAATTTGGAGCAGGGGGAGAAGCCGGGGCACAGGCAGATAATCTCTTGGACGAGCTGGAGGATTGGCCTTGGAAATTCCACGGGAGGAGAGAAAAGAGACTCAGGGAGATCTTGGCAGGTGGGAGGAGGCTGGAGCAGAGATAGCAAGTCTGGGCAATAGAGAAAGGGAGGCAAAGGGTAAAGGGAGGCCAAGAACACATTTTTCAATGCTTTGTCTGAAGCAGGGGCAGCCCTGAGCACAGCTGTGAGGTAGGTAACATTCCTCCGCTCCTTCTTGCCATCAGCAGCTGGAGGTTTGCTGCCACCCTGCTCTTCCCCACTTGCTCAGTCCCAAGTTTCTGGATCTCTCTCATTCCCTCAGGGACCTGCTCTTTGAAAGGTAAAAATACAGCTAGCCTGATAAAGGAATGAACTGAGTGTAGGGGGTGGGGTTGGGGGTGGTGGTAATGATTGCACTTTTAAAAGAATTCTTGCAAACATTCCTTTCCTCCAAAGTTCTGAATATGTATTTTAAAAGGAGGTCTGTGTAAAGTCGGCCTTAATTCCAGGGAGTGTCTAAAACTGGACATTTTTGACACTGCTAATAGACCTATATTGGCAGCAAACCCATTTTCATGCCTCTCAATTGTAATTAAGTCTGGAAAGGGAAGCACTGAATTAAAAAAATTTTTTTTAAAGAATAGTTTGTTGATTTTTAGAGAGAGAGGAAGGGACAGGGAGAGAGAGAAAGAAACATTGACGTGAGAGCATCACATTGATCAACTGCCTCCTACACACCCCAACCAGGGATTGAGCCTACAACCTGGGCACATGCCCTTGACTAGGAATCGAACCAGCAACCTTTTGGTGTGTGGGACAATGTCCAACCAACTGAGCCACAACCGCCAGGGCAGAACTAAATTTTATACATTATCTGTTACAGGCCTGGAATTGTGCTAAGCACTTTTTTACAGACTTCCATTTTACAGACATGGAGCTCGAAGTCAAGTTCAGAGAGGCTGTACCCTGCCTGTGGCAGATGGTGATTATTAAAGGTGACTGCGACAGTATCTTCCATCTGATGTGTTCTTGTAGCACAGGGGTCAGCAAACTTTTCTGTAAAAAGCCATAAATACTTTAGGCTTTGTGATCCATGCCATCTGTGTCCCAAACACAGGCTGGCTGTTTTGAAGAGATGAGCCAGATTTCATGGGAAGGCACAGTTTGCTAAGCCTGCTCTAGAATTTCATCATTCCTGTCAAGAGGCGGAGTCTAATTCCCCTCTCCTTGAACCCAGGGAAATGTGTGATTTGCCTGTGACCAAGAGAGAGTGAAGGAAGTGACACTGTATGACCTCTGAGGCTGAAAAGGTGATGCAGTCTGTACTGCTCCCTGGGACGGCTGCCTGCTTGGAACCCTGGGTCACCACAGAAGCAGTCCAGTTGTCCTGAGGCCCCCATGCTGTAAGGAAGCCCATGTCAGCCATGTGGAAAGACAGAGAAGCCCCAAGGCTGTAGGGAGAGGGGAGATGCTCAGCCAGCCCCCAGTTGTTCTAGCCCTTCACCTGACTGCAAGCTCTGGAGAGACCCTGAGCCAGAATTAAATAGCTGAAGCTCCTCTAAACTCCTGCCCCATAGAAGTGGAAGAGTAATAAGATGATTGCTATTGTTTTAATACATATAGAACATTTCTCCCAAACTAGTGAGTGGCAGGTTTGGGATCCAAACTGATGTTGGCCTGACCTCAAACCTGTATTTTTCTATTACATGATTGCTTCCAGCAGCAGAAAATTGTGCTAAAATATATGTAATAAATTTTTATCCTGTTAACTATTTTTAAATGTACAGTTCAATAAGCACATTTATATTGTTGTGCAACCAATCTCCAGAATTATTTTCATCTTGAAAAACTGTGCCCATTAAACAACTGCCCATCCCCCCACCCCAGACCCTGGCACCACCATTCTACTTTCTGTCTCTATGAATTTGACAACTCTAGGTCCCTTGTGCATGTGGAATCATATAGAACTTGTCTTTTTTGTGACTGGCTTCTTGCACTTAGTATAAGTATATGTGCATGTGTATTTGAATATTTATATTATTCCAAGCCTGTGCTGGTTAGTGCGTCTGACCAGTGAGTAGCAAAGGTTTGTCAAGGAAAAATGTCAGAGCTTCCAAGTCCTGTAAGTCACAGATGCAGCATGTTCCAGGAAGGACCTTGCAACAGCACTTTAACAAAGACGATTCCCAGTGTCCTGCCCCCAAAGGGCTTTGAAGAAAGAGGAACCCATGAATCAAGAATAAGATAAGGCTGTTTGATTTGTTTTAACTTGCGGGCTGTTTGACTTCCCTCTCAGAGCCATGCCTTGGGGATGAAATCATTTTCTCTCACACAGCCCTTTCAAAGAGTATCAAACACAAACATCACTGCCTACTTCTTTATTTCCTCTGTGTCCAGGGGTATGTATTGACTTGGTGGAATTTCTGTGACTAGCTGGGAATTATGTACTGAGCTAAAAGTCCTGCAGGGAATCAGCTAAAACTCAGCCTAAGATCCAGCCTTTGGGGGCTTCCCTGACCTTCTCTGCCGTCCCCTATGCCTGACCTAAGACCAAAAGGCAGGTCTGGGCAGAAGTGCGCTTTTTTTTTTTTTTTTTTATCCTCACCCGAGGACATTTTTCCATTTTTTTTGTTCAGATAGAGTGGGAGGGAGAGAGAGAGAGAGAAACATCGACGTGAAAGGGACACATCGAGTGGCTGCTACCCACACGACCAACCAGGGCCGGGGACAAACTGCAACCGAGGTACATGCCCTTAACAGGAACTGAACCGGGTCTCTCTGGACCACAGGTCGACTCTCTAACCACTGGGCCAAACCGGCCAGGGCAAGGTGCATATTTTTAAAGTCAACATCTTTTTTTTAATTTTTTATCCTCACCTGAGGACATTTTTCCATTTTTTGTACAGATAGAGTGGGAGGGAGAGAGAGGAAGGGAGAGAGAGACAGAAACATCGACGTGAAGGGACACATCGAGTGGCTGCCACCCACACGACCAACCAGGGCCAGGGACAAACTGCAACCGAAGTACATGCCCTTAATGGGAACTGAACCCTGGTCTCTCCGGACCGCAGGCCGACGCTCTAACCGCTGAGCCAAACCGGCCAGGGCTAAAGTCAACATCTTAGCTTCCTCTCTCCACACTCACCCTATTGCCTAGCTTACCAGTTACACCAAAAGCTAATGGAAGTGATCTTTTTGAACCTCCCAGGGTCTCAATCTCCTTTGAGTTGGGATTTTAGTCCAGAAAAGTTCTGAAGATAATAATCAGAACCTCAAAAGGCAAGAAAGCCTTTTAATACAGATCCTCTTTCTGAATCTTTCACAAGTAGCCTGCTGGCAGCTTTGGAAGGTGGTCCTGCTGGCAGAACCTGGGGTGAGGGCTGACCTTCCCCAAGCCCTCTGCGGCCCCTGGCTCAGCGGGGAGGGACTGTGGCTGTAGAAGTCTAGCCAGTATGGGGAGACTTCGTAGGTGTTTTGGGCATGGTCTAAGAGGCCCATCTCTATTAACACTTCCCTCCTTCCCTCCTCTGGGCAGGACAGACCTGCCTTCTCCCTCGCCTCTTCCCTCTCTGGGGCCTTTCCCACCCACCCTCCTGCAAGAATGCTTTATTGCCTGGAAAGTCAGAAGCAGGGATTGCATTGTGCAAATCTAGATACAGTTTTGGTTTTTCTTTTGTGGGAAAGGTGATAAGGGATAGAAGGGACACCTGCTGTTTAAGCAGGTGATAGGAGGAATGGGGTGGTAGACAGAATAATGGCCCCGAAGTCTGAATCTTTGAAGTCTGTGAATATGTTAACTTACGTGGCAGAGGGGACTTCCCTGATTAAGTTAAACATCTTAAAATGGAAAGATTATCCTGGATTATCTAGGTGGCCCCAAAGTAACCCCAGAGGTCTTTATAAAAGGGAGGCAGGAGGGCCAGAGTGGGAGCGGGAGATGTGGCGGTGGAAGTCGCAGTGGCTGGGAGGGTTTTGAAGATACTGTACTCCGCTGGCTTTGAAGAGGGAGGAAGGCACCACAGGCAAGGAGTGCAGGCAGCTTCAGCCGCTGGAAAGGCGAGGCGTGGATTCTCCCCAGAGCCTCCCCCAGAGCCTCCCTAGAGCGCACCCCTGCGGACCCGTCGTACACTTCTGACCTTTGAGATGTAAGATGACTGGTGTTGTTTTAAGCCACTAGGTTCGTGATAATTTGTTACAGCAGCAATAGGAAAACAGTACAGGTGGGAAGAATGAACGTCCTTGAGAACAGCTGCTGCCACATTGAAATAGGCCAAGAAATAAAATAACAGACCAAACTAATGCTTCTCTCCCTCAAAATAGTGGATCTCAAAAGTGGTCTCCCAACCAGCAGTGTCAGCAGCACCTGAATGTGGGTCCGAGTCGCGGCCCCCAACCCGGATCAGGTGATTCAGGACCTCTGGGGCTGGGGCCTGGCAGTCTGGGATTTAACAAGCCCTTTAGATAATTCTGATGCACACTAAGGTTCACCTTAGTAAAAGTGACCTGGGCTGGTTCTTCATGAGGGAAGGGTACTTGTGGACCTTCTGATGTCTGTGTGTTCCTATCGAATCTACAATTACACTAGTTATTTCATGATTATGCTTGGCTAGAAATTTGAGTGATGAGCAAAGTTATCTCCCCAAGACAGGCTCTGCAACGGGAATGTGGGAGGATGGGGAGCCCAGAATTCAGTCTCCATGTGTTCACAAGTCCCCACTTCCTTCACACAGCCTGTGCCTGTGGTAAAGGGACCAGGAACCAGGCCAGATTGTGATTCCAGAGCCCTGCACTGTCACATACATTTGTCTCGGCCTGGGGTGGCAGAAGGAATGGTTATTTTTCCTCTTATCTTAAAAATTTTTTTATTAATTAATTAATTAATTTTTTTATTACAGATGTCCTTCCCTTTTCTCTCCATTATTACCCTCCTCTCTCCCACTCCAGCCTTCACTGCACTGTCTATGTCCATTGTTTATGCATATATGCATATAAGTTCTTTGGTTTATCTCTTTGTACTCCCCACCCTCTTCCCACTGAGGTTTGTTAGTCTGTTCCTAGTTCCATGTATCTGGATTAATTTTGTTCATCAGCTTATTTTGTTCATTATATTCCACAAATAAGTGAGATCATATGATACTTATTTTTTTCTGACTGGCTTATTTCACTTAGCACAATACTCTCCAGGTCCCCCCATGTCATCTTAAAGAGTAAGAGATCTTTCTTATAGCTGCGTAGTACTCCATTGTGTAGATGCCCACTCATCTACTGATGGGCACCTGGGCTGTTTCCAGGTCTTAGCTATTGTAAATAGCACTGCTATGAACATAGGGGTGCATATATCCTTCCTGATTGGTGTTTTAGGCTTCTTAGGACATATTCCTAGAAGTGGGATCACTGGGTCAAATGGCAGTTCCATTTTTAATTTTTTGAGGAGACATATTGTTTTCCATAGTGGCCGCACCAGTCTGCATTCCCACCAGCAGTGTACTAGAGTCCCCTTTTCTCCACACCCTCGCCAACACTTGTTGTTTCCTTTTCTCTTTTCTTAAGTCTGTACCTGCTGGAGGCAATCCTATATAATGAAAAGATACTTTTTTTTTTTTTAATCCTCACCCGAGGATATTTTTCCATTTTTTGTACAGATAGAGTGGGAGGGAGAGAGAGGAAGGGAGAGAGAGAGAGAAACATCGACGAGAAGGGACACATCGAGTGGCTGCCACCCACACGACCAACCAGGGCCGGGGACAAACTGCAACCGAGGTACGTGCCCTTAGCGGGAACCGAACCCGGGTCTCTCTGGACCGCAGGCTGACGCTCTAACCGCTGAGCCAAACTGGCCAGGGCAAAAAGATACTTTTGAAAAGTTTCAGAAGTTTTAGGATCATGCAGACATTGATTCAGTCCTGGATGTACCTCGTATTAGTTGGGTGACCTTGGGTGTGTGATTTTTCTGGGTCTCAGTGCCCTTTCTGTAGAATGGGTGTGCTGAAGGTACTTCTGTGATGGAGTTGTAGAGAGGTTAAGTGAAATAATATAGCTCAAGGTCCTATTGCAGGACCTAGAAAAAAGTAAATGCTTAATGGTATTGTTACACATCATTAATTATAGTTAATATTATTAATTGTAATTAATAGCTATTATTTACACCAGCCCTGATGGTCATCATCTCCTATTTCCAGGCTTCACATATATAAGGGACCCAATTTACAAGTTCAATTCATTTTAAGTTCTGTTAATAACATTTCTTGTTGAGGTTCTTTAAGGCTCTATGAACAGGGAAAGTCCCCTATAAGATGAGGGCATTTCTCCTAGCTTCCCAGCTGGTGGAACTTTTCGCAGCAGCCTGGGTCCCCAGCCGGAGGAAGAGGCTGGACCTCAGCGTGGATGTTCCCATTTCCCCTACTGCCTGCATTCCTCTGACCCAGCTGGTCAGACCTGGTATTTTTCCTCCCTTCTCCTCAGGCAGCTTCCATGTCACCCAGACAGCTGCCGCCACATCATGCTGCTTCAGAAGCGGAAGTGAGGTGAAGTTAGGACCTTTCCGGGTGAGTGACAGCATTTGAGATGAGATGAATAAAATACCGGTGCTTAGGGAAAACCAGACTTTCCCCAGGCCCCTCTGCTCCACCTTTCCCATGACACGTAAAATGAGCCTGACTAATGTCAGTCCATATGATTTGTCAGCCTCTTTGGGAAACAGTGGGTGCTGGTGACTTGGGTTTGAACTGTCCCTTCGTGAGAGTGGCTCTGAGACCCCCTGCAACGAGTGAGCCTGCATGCATCTGGTCACTTTGTCCTGGGCTGTGCCACTGAGCATGTGCCGGGCTCTGTGTGTGTCCCTCGGGGTATCTGCTCCGGTGGCAGATGAGGTATTATTCCAGTTCACCCTTGGATGCTGCAGGCTTTTTCCTCAGCTACCACATGACAGGGTGAAAGCATTCCAGGAAACCAGAAGGGCTGTTCGAGCCTCTGGAATGTCAAAGGAAACTGCTCAGCAGGGCTGCCGGCTCTTCTCTGCCATGTCATTTCCTCTGAGCTTGCTCCACTTGGCGGCCTGCTCACTTTCCACTGAATCCGCACACTTTAAGGTTTACCTTCCAAAGATGGGAGAACCTATATATTTTTCCTCCACAGAAACTTTAATTTTTTAAGGTTCAAGACGTCTCCAAAGGTCATGATAAAGACTATTTACAAGAACAGGGGAAACTAACAGATGTAGAATACATTCCCACTTTTAATTCTAATTTACTCTTTAACTGACAGGAGGGATTGGTTGTATTACATCTGCTTTAGGCCATATGCACCCAAGGGTACTGGCTTTGGACTCAATGTTTGTTTCCCCACAAAATCCATATGTTGAAGCCCCAACTTCCAATGTGAAGGTGTTTGAAGATGGGGTGCTTGGGAGGTGAGTAGGTTCAGATGAGGTCATGAGGGTGGGGCCCCATGATGAGATTAGTGCCCTTATAAGAATAGATCTTAGATCTCTCTGTCTCCTCTCCATGTGGAAAGGCCACATGAGGACACAGGGAGAAGGCAGCCATCTGCAAATGAAGACAAAGACAAAAGCTCTCACCAGACAGCTAACCTGCTGGCACTTTGACCTTGGGCTTCCTAGCCTCCAGAATTGTGAGAAAATAAATGTCTGTTGTTTAAGCTACCCAGTCTGTGGTATTTTGTTACAGTAGCCCAAGCAGACTAGGCAATACCTCAGGAGCAAAATAAACTAAACTCCAAGAAATAGATCACAAAGACCCAAGCAGCTGGCACTGAATGCTCCTCTTCCCTGTCCTAAAAGACAAAATAATGATTTTCCACAGATTTTCCCAGAAGCAAAGTCTAGCTACCACACATTGAATATGCACAAAGAAAGAACCTCGGCTATGAGTCCTTGAATTTGCCAGGTTTCATGGCGGCAATTTCTACATCCTGCTGCCTGAAGGACATACTTTTTCATTCCTCTCACCCACAGCAATTCCACACCTAACCCAACAGCAGTCCGGTGAGGGCACGAACAAGTCCCGATGCACTTGTATCCTATGCACTGCAGGGGTGACCTGGGCTTAGGAGCCTTTCAAAAGGATACAAGATATTTGAGTCTTGGAAAAGATTTACTGTCACTGAACCATGAATAAAAGACTCAAAGTTAAAACTAATAAAATGTTGTCATTAACTAACATTTTGTCAGCATCACTTATTAACTATTAACAACATTCCATTCCATTTGAAAATACTTTGTGGATTAGATTTTTTTTTAAATTCTGTGAGGAATTACTATAGAGGTATGATTACCAAGGAATCATAAGTAATCAAACTAAATAAATTTTATATACATAATTTTAATTGTAGACCAAAAAAATGATAAAAATTCTTTCAAAATGTTTATAGAAGACAAATTCATTTCATGGGGATGTGGATCACCATAACATGTTTGAAATGATGTAGTGTGGATTTTCTAAAGGAAGCAGAGCCCACGGCCTGTGAAGTTCCGAAGTCACCTGATCACCCCCACAGCAGGATGAGGACGCCAACCACACAGGAAATGACTCGCCCAAGCCTGGCCAATAAGTACAGAGGTGAAACTCACAGCCTCGCCTCCGGGGCCCAGTGCTGCTTCTGTTCAGTGTCCTCAGGAAACTGTCTCCACTAACGCCTGGGTCCCTTTCTTAAACAGGATCACGTAGACCAGTGCCTCCTCACTGTAGATACTCATTCTGGAGTATGTTCACTTATTGGTGCTCCATTGCAATTATCCACAAAAACTCGCCAGCCCCTCCTTCACCCATCTTGTGAGATTGTGCCTGAAAGCATCTGGTGCTCTATGTAAACCTGGAGATTTCACTACGTGCCATCTCCCTTAGACAGTTTATCACAAACTGAAATAAAGCTGCTTTTAGCCCTATCTGGCAACACAGGTCTACTGAAAACGAGGGTAGTATAGTGGGTAACTTCAAGGGTTCAATTATTAGTCAGTCTTGGATTTGGAATTCTATGACTTGAGCTAGGAACTTCTCTAAGCCTTGGTTTCCTTCTTTGTAAATCAGGCGATAACAGTAGCTTCTGTGTTGCTATGAGGTTTTAATGAACAAATGTATGTACTTCCTTTGCTTGCTATGTTACAAACATAAGTGCTCATCAAATGTTAGCTCATGGTATTATTACTAGCTTTCATAGCTTATCAGTAGTATAGTTCTTTGTCCACGCCTTTAAAAGTACACCTAAGAGATAGGCTGGTGGAAATACAAAAGTCATAGGCCCTAAGGAGGAGCATATGGCAATATGTGGTACCCTGGGTCTCTGAGAGACTGTGTGGAGTAGACCTCTGGCCAACCTTAGTGAAACATATAGTGTGAACTGAAATATTTTTGTTATATTTACCACTGAGATTTCAGAGTTGTTTGTTATTATAGCAAAACCTAACCTAATTAATGTAACCTTTGACCTAGCAACTTCACTTCAGACATTAATCCTGAAGACATACTGGATAAAATGAGATGTATACAAAATCGTTTAGTTGCCCTGGCGGGTTTGGTTCAGCAGTTAGAGCATTAGGCCACAGACCAAGGAGTCTCGAGTTTGATTCCAGTTAAGGGCACGTACCTCGGCTGCAGTTCGATCCCCAGCCCTGGTTGGGGTTGGGTGGGAGGCAAGCAATTGATGTGTCTCTCTCACATCCATGTTTCTTTTTCTCTTTCTCCCTCCCTCCCATGCTTTCTGAAAACAAAAAACACCAAAACAAAATCATTTAGTAAAGCATTGCTTAAAATAGCAAAATATCGAGAATAATCTAAATGTGTGGAAAATAGGAAGTTGTTTAAATGATTTGTGATGTATCTATATAATGTAGTCGTAAAATATAACTAGAAAATTTTCTAGGAAAATGTGGAAATATTACCAAGACATTGTTAAATAGAAATATTGTATAAATAGAAGTTATACAATATTGTATATAGTGAATTGTTCTTTGTGTAACAAAGGGGAAAACACATATTCATAATGTATAGATATGCCACAAATATAGATCTATATAGAAGAAAGAAAGTTGACAATGGTGGCTTAAGGGGAATGTGAACTGGGCATGAAGTCAATGCATTATTCCTCCTGTATTTTGATTTTTTGAGCTATGTGAATATTTTTTCATATTAAAAAATAAAATAGATACTAAAAATAAATAAAACCCTTTGCTGGCTACTTATTGCCTATAGAAACCATAAAAATGTATCTTCATTCCCACTTTACGCCTGCCCATTTTCCCCTTTGGGCTCAGTGTTTCAGCTGCATCTGATTCCAGGAGGTGACAGGTGGTTTCCATCCCTCTGTCTTAGAGCTGGCTTCATTCACCCTAGTGAGATGCTCCTCCCTCTCTTCCTCTTTGCCTTCTGCATGTCTTTCAAGACCTAGACATCTTCCCCAGGGCACATTTCTGGACCATCCTGGCAAAGTTCTTAGGCTGATTTCTGTGCTCACACAGCTCCTTTTTCACACTCCTACTGTTGAATTTTTATTAAATTATAATGATCTGCCCAGCCAGTGTGGCTCAGTGGTTGAGCATCGACCCATGCACCAAGAGGTCGCAGGTTCGATTCCTGGTCAGGGCACATGCCCAGGTTGTGGGCCAAATACCCAGTGAGGGGCATATAGGAGGTGGTCAATCGATGTTCTCTCTCATCAATGTTTCTATCTCTCTCTAAAATCAATAAAGAAAAACAATTAAAAACATTATAATGATCTGTTTACATAAAGTCTGCCTTTTCTGGATAGCAGAACTAGGTTAGGTTCATCTTTCTACCCCCCTGGCCAAATATAGGGCATGGCATAGTGTAGGCATTTAATAACTTTATCCATTAATTTTTCTTAAAAAAATAGATTATTAACAATGAAGTAATAAAATATTATGTTTGGAAACAGAGTCTCTGCCTGCTGCCATACTCCTCAAGCAGTCTGAATTCTTCCCCTCGGTGTGCTATGATATTGAAAAGACTGCTATGTTCTAAATAATTCTATGGTGGTATTATCTTTTTAATCCTCACTTGAGGATATGATTTTTTTAAAGTATGTTTTTATTGATTTTAGAGAAAGAGGAAGGGAGAGGGAGAGAGGAACATTGATGTGAGAGAGAACGTCATTCAGTTGTCTCTGGTACGCACCCTGACCAGAAATCAAATCCTCAGGCTAGGTATATGTCCCGACCAGGACTAGAACTTGCAACCTTTTTGTGTACAGGACGACACTCCAACCAACTAAGACATCTGGCCAGGGTATATGGTGGTATTTTTTAAATGTTCTATTTTAAATTTTATGAACATTTGAGAGTAACACTACTCCAAAGCAATATTAAAACAACAACAAAGCACTCCAAACTTCAACCAAATCAATAACCAGGTTTAAAAAAAAAGAGAACAAGTTGAGTAAAGGATATTTGGAAACATGCTGATCACTTACTTAACATGTGATTTTGATTGTATCTACCCCATTGGTTAGATTTCCATAACATTATATGTAATAAAATTATATTTGATTTAGTAAAAGACATTCATATTACTCAGGCACATGATCATTACTCTTAAAAACTCATGGAATAACATCAAACAAAAGTAGTAACATTGATTTTAATAATTGAGTTTTTGAGCCAATGTAATAAAAATAAAAATGATACCAAACAGTATAAACAAACATCTAAAATATATTGAGTGTCTATGTGCCAAACATTTTACTAGGTACTTCAATATGATCTCATTTTATTTAAGTCTCTTAATTGTCTGAAGTGCTAAGTAGCTTTAACCCCACTTTACAGACAAGGAAAATGTGGTTCTGAGAGAGTAATTTGCTTCAGATTATAACAGCCAAGATGTTATGGCTGTAAGGTTTGAACCTAGAAATGCCCTTCTGCTATTCTATGCTTTCTCCCAACAGAGTGTGTTCTAAACTCAGTGTTAGGAGTATATCTGAGGAAGCCATTGATAAAATCAGCAATGAAATTCAGAAGACTTACAAGGAAATTGAACTTGCCTCTGTATCTCCTAACAGGCACTGGTTCAATCAACCTTAACAGAGTTATATCTGGTGGCTTTCTTTTTTCACCCAAGGATACATGTTGGTTAAAACTAGGAAATACCTCAAATTCCATACATTTCTCCAAAACATTTCAGATCCACAAAGCTTTTGGACTGGATTTGATGGTATATTATTGTAAAAATGCTTTGGCTTTTTCCCCGGTGAAACCAAAGTCGTAATGCATGTGTCTCCAAATTAAAGCAGCCAGAGCTTCCACAGAACTGTTGTGTACACAGCTGTGGCGATGGAAGCATCTTAGCTGAATACGAAATACACACAGGATCAATATGAAGTTAATTTTACAGTTAATTTTAATGGGAGTGATGGATAATTTAAGAGGGTGTGATTCCCAGGTTCATACTCCAAATCACAGCAGTAAGTGATTTCAGCAGTTGTCTAAATTATGGTGTGTTCCAAAATTAACAGTAAGGTCAGACTATAATTTTAGATGAAAATGTAAAGGCCATTTTCTAAATTTGGGATTCAGATACCAAAGTGACTTTGCTATCACTATTGAATTGGCCTCGAAGATTGCTAATTAGACCACAGTCCTTAA